CGATCTCTGAAAGTCAACTTTGGGGGCAAAAAAAAAAAAGAAGAAAGCGTGGAGTTTGGAGTCTTTTATTTTGGCAGGTTCCACTGACTGAGTTTTGTGATGAACTCCCGCTGCGCCTCGTCAAAGGGCACTTTCACTCTTGCGAGCATATTTGCATACAAAGTGAAGGCAGAGAAAACGTGTTTCACACTAATTGTCAACTCTTTTATTGTCAGGGTTAATGCAGTCCTCCGGGGGGGTTCTCCAGCATCCCCTCCTACTTTTTTTTTTTTTTTTTTGCTTCAGCTCCTCCATTGCAGCCATAAGAAAAGTCTCACTTTAAATTTACTGCCCTCTATCTGCCACTGGCCTGCACTGAGCTCCCCCCAGGGCCCTACGGAGGATTAGGCTGTCTTCTTTGACACCCTCTGTGAGTTTATAAGAAGGCTCCTCTTTGRTCTTTATATGGAACCTCAAGAGGAAAAACATGATTACAGCAATTAAGTCAAATTGAATGTATGGAGCCCGGAGCTTGCTCCGAGTTTCACTTCAGTAAATGAGTTAATCTGTCTAAAAAAAGATGCATAGGAGGAAGCTASAATTGCGCCGCTGATGGAAAAAAGGAGGGGCCGCAGAGGAAGCCGTTCCCACGGCTTTTTGGGGAGRTGCCTCCTGCGCTCTGAAAGTGTGCGCAGTTTGTCTGTCTGCTTCTTTTTCCCCTTCTGAGGGGCGAAAAACATGCAATAACGTGGTCGGCGCCACGCRGCGTGACGGGCCGTTCTCTGTGTGAGGCTCCAGAGTGAGGGGCACAGCAGACGTCCAGCAGGAAGGACACAATCACAGCAGATAAAAAAAGCGTGGGCACACCTCAGCGTCTCCACAAGAGCAGATAAGCCCACCCGACGGATGGCTCCTTCTCCCCTCAAACCACTGCTCATCTTTAGTTCAGGGTCAATGAAGTSAAACTTATGGGGAAACAAATCAGTGGACAACTTTGTTCGTTAAAAGGAAGGTAGTAKATTAGTAGTAGGAGCAGATTTGATGACGTGTTTTTTTCTGCAAAAGGGTCAGTTTTAGTCACAGGCGTCAAGCCAAGTTGCTTTAATTAGCCAGTTCTTTCAAGAGATGACTCATTGTGCAACATGTGCTTTTTGTATCAGAATTTCTTGTAAAAATCTGTGATTTGTGACTGCAAACATACAGTATCTCCTGAAGGCCTCTTTAAGTTACATAACATTCAACTGGATTTATCCTTTATGATCTTCCTCTTTATTTTTGACGTAACTGTTTCTTTTTTGTTGCTCTGTGCACCACGGGAGGCTTATTTAAACTTTAAAAAGCATCACACAAGCAAAACGTCTTTATATATATATGAAGATTACAATTTAATCTGAAAGCTCAGTCAGCAGAGATTAACAAACAACTTTATCCAAAAAAAAAAAAGTCCAAACCTGCCCAGAACTTCTTAAAAGAAGCTTAGCTGAGYAGTCCTTTGAACGATGCTTCGCTTCTCCTTTTGTGTGCAGCTTTGAAACATTGTCTTTTAATCCCTCGGCTCAGTCAGACGGACACCTGAAGCGCTGATGTCTCTGTTTTTGTTATACCTCTGATTTCAGTCGCAGAATGCAAAATCAGTAGCAGGAAATATCAATAGTTTGAAGAATTGTGATGAGGTCGTATAATTGCGCACCAAAAGCAAAATGTCTGCGTAGAAACGACGTGCAAGGCRGTTTGTTGCCATGACAGAAGAAAAATGTTGCAAAGCTGAACACGCAAGCAGCTACAGATCTCACCTCGTCCTGACGCCCATACCCACTTGGATTAAAGATCTAAACGAACGACTGAAACCGAACCAATAATCTGAAAACTCCTGAAATGTTGAACGTCCCTCCAGGCTCCTCGAGGCTGACAACGTTACGTAACTGTAGCTCATTTCAGATCAGCAATCAAGGTCTGCTTCTTTAAACTGAATCCAGGTCAAACTTGTTCCTCTCCCTCAACTGTCAGAGAGCTGCAGAGTTTAAATTCAAGGACAGGAAAAAAAAATCCATAAACTAACAAAGGAGGTCAAACAAACACAAGCACAAACCCAGTGTCACTTTATAAAAGAACATGACTGATAAGAGTTGCCCAAAACGTCAGCAGAAACTGAAAAATGGAGCTTTTAATRGAGTGCGGTTAGATTGAACCTGCAGCTGTTCAAACAGCAAGGTTGGCCAATCTGAGCGTTTAAATAGCCTGCTTCAATATGCTTTTAATGCTGCGTGCACAAACAGCTTGTGGAATAATCTAAATAATCTTATCACCTGGTGTCCCACTTCATCAGCAGTGTTTTCAACCAAAGGCTGAGTCTCATTTTCAGCTTTTTTCTTCATAAAGACACACCTACACGGTGTCAACTGGGAGCTTTTGTTCTTTGGTTCTATACAGATGTTTAACATTTCATTTGAACCGGCTTGGACATTTTGTTTTGTTTGCTCGTGTTTCAGGCGTGACTATCAGCAAAAAAAAGTTTTAGGGTCATAATTAATAATTTAAGTGACAGTTTTAACCTATGCTCAGTTTATAAGTCAGAACAATTAAGTTTAAACTTAAATGTCTTCATTTTCTTCATTATTTTCTAAACGCATACATATAGAAACACTTGAGCCACGTGGCCAACAAAATAAAAACAATCTTATATTGGCAAAATTGTTATAATTGTGGTGTTGTGATTTACATAAAAAGGTTTTTAAGTGAGTAATATCTCTTTTAAATGCTAATTTGTGCTTAAATGGGGTTACTTTGAGGACATATAATCAGTAGTTTTACTTTTGTTTACTTTTTGTTAAATGTAGGGGAAATGTTTAAAAGTGAAGCTYAAACTTGCAAAAAGTTGTGATTCATACAAGAGAAGCTCTTTTTCCCTGGAATTTAACAGGCAAGAAATATCATCAGAACTTATGTTAATTCTGAACCAAATACATAATAATAATAATAATAATAATAATAATAATAATAATAATAATAATAATAATAAT